TTAAAATATATGTTTATCAAATAAAGTCTAATGTTACAACTAATCGGGGATCCCTTTAAAAGGCAGTGAATTCAGTCTTAAATTTAACTTGCCTTAAGCTGTAGGAACCCTGATCATAGTGTGGGGAACCATAGAGTCCGATGACCTCAGCTTATCTCTGGTAACAAATCTGGGTACCCTGATTGAAGTGGTACGTCCGTGTCATCTTGTGCCAGCATATTTTTATCTTGAGACAGCAACCTGGAACAGTCTTTCAACAAGACATCCATCCACACACAGGATGCTTCTCTAYGAACTGCCTGTAGCCAACCAGGTGCAACAATTTGTCCACGATCAAATAAATGTGTGACAGCTCAGACATCAACTCTGGCCCATTGCTGATCTGTTTAAATTTTAGGGGTCAGTGACAACATCTATGGTCTGATACAACGGCTGTACGAAGACGCTGCACTTGTATCTATGTCCTAATAGTGCTGGGCGGTATACCGGTTCATACCGAATACCGTTTTTTATTTTTGTTATGATATGAATTTTCTGAATACCGACATACTGGTTTAAATAGCCTGAACACACGCGGAACGTTTTGTCGCGGCCGCYGGTGAACTGTTTCCCGGGGGACACTTTTCCTCGCTACACCGCTATGTGYGTTAGCATGCTAATGTTATTGTTGCAGCGGCGGGTGGCAATTCCRCTTGTTATATTGGTTGTCGTAAAAAAAACATCCCGTTTTCTCCGTCGCTGAATGTAGTAAACACCTCTTCAGWGACGTGCRCGGTTAGATATAACAYRYGACTTTAATATGGAGACGTGGAGAYGCATGGAGACTTTAACGTGCTTCTATTGTGAAAAGCCCGGGGGAAGAAGWTTTGTAGTGGAGTTGAGTTGACTGGTGTGCAAGGTGAGTCGTTCTGTTAATCTTTATTAAATAACCTAAAACAATAAACCCGATAATAATCTTTTCTTAACCCTCCTCCTTCACGACCGGACCAAAATGCATGACTACTGTCTCCAACCATGAGGAGTAGAAAAGACGTTTAGAGGAGGGAAACAGAGACACAGACAGAGGTACAGTCAAAGAGAAAAGTTAAATTGCAGTTTTTTTTACATTTTGTTATCAGCTGACCTGTGATGAAAAGAAAAATACAGTGATATACCATGAAACTGGTGTAAATGTTGAAAATACCGTGATATAAAAGTTTGGTCATACCGCCCAGCTCTAGGTCCTAAGTATTATGACTGCCTACTGACACAGGATGTGTGCCTGAACTGATAACTTTATTTTTTCAGTGCAGCCACGTGACTTTTCAACATGTGGAGCTTTCTTTCCTTTCTACCACTCTATCAAAGTGTTAACCTTTATTTGGCAGTAACTGTACAAATAATTTTAAATCACTAAATGGTCTTTTAAAAAGATTTTAAAAAAGTGTTATCTTTGTTTTGTAATTGTTTTTAGGCATATCACATTTATTCTACTGATTGTTGCAGAAGCAATTAAAACTCTACATGAGCTAAAGACTGATTATGTGGTGAAGTGACTGTTAGAGTCAAAAGCAAGAGACAAACGTCTCTTTTTCAAAAAGCTGCCTTGAATATTTCATTCCACTGCCTCACTTGTGATGAGACACTTTAGGGCCCAGTAATATAGAACAGAAAACAGAATAGAAAGATAGAGAAGAGGACAGCGAATAGAGAGAAACTAGAAAAAGAGGAAAAAGAGAGAGAAAACCAAAGTGAATGAAATAAGAAACCAAAAACACACCTGAGCTTGGAGTTGCATAAATGAATCAACAATATCAGGATGATCCCTGGGTCCTATAATATAATAAAGATGAAACTTAAGAAATCATAAGAGAGAATAATAATAATATACAAACAGCAACTTAATAGATTCAACAGTCATGTGGAAATAAAAGAGAACTGAAAAATATTTCATTGAAATAATTTACACGTGAGTAAGGAACAAAGGGGAGGGCAAGGGACTTATGAAGCTTTGTCAGAGTCTGGAAGGAAGAGACCAACCAAAAACAAATAACAGGCAGAGGACAACGACATGGGTCTGTTTACAAAAAATAAAAAACAAAAACAAAAAGAAATAATTTAAAAAAAGAAACAAGATAAAAAGAAGAAAGCTATAAAGCAAATGTGGGTTTGGAGTGGGAACCCAGGAGGCACCTCTGTTACTGTTACAGCATGGAGGAAAAGAGGCACCAAACCTGAACAAACCCTCTTACCCAACTCCCATAAGACACTATCACTAGGGGTGCAACAATAAATGTACCCGTGTAGAACCGTTCAATACAGTACTTTAGGTTCAATACACAC